GGGAGAGGAGACTCCCACCACCTCTTTCTGGATAGTTCCACCCCGAAATAACATTGTAATGGCACAGTGACACAGCAGTGGACACCAGGAGCAAAAGGGCTAAGAAAGGTGCAAGGCCTGTGCTGATAGCAGGTGCAAGGGAATGCAGCAGCCCAGGGACAGAGCCTACAATCTGTAGACCCTGCGAGATTGAGGCCACCAGAGATTCTCCTCCACATCCCCCACCCTGCACCCTGTCCTCTGTTAGGGGTGGACTGTGGATCAGACCAAACTTTGACAGGGCCTATCCCTCCAGGCACGGGTGAGATGTGAAACAAGGAGGAACTGAAGTCCCACAGGACTCTCAGGTGCACAGAAGCCAGCTCTTGGGCAGAGGGTGGAAGACAGTGCATACTATTTCCTTGGGATAGAGCTGCAGGCTGGGGCACTCACAGGATGTGGAGCTTGCTCAGCAGGAAACCCGGTTTCCCTGTGCTCTGTCACCTTACTTAAAGGAGCAACAACAGTGGAGTTGAGACCAGTGGCGCCTGGAGCCAGCTGACACTCACTGGTGGGTTTAGCACAGCTTTCCAGGGACCAACTGTGCACCAGGTTTGACTCTGCCTTCTACACTCAGCCATCTCTGGGACAGATTGGGGAGATTCTGCCTCTCCCCTTGTAAATGCCAGGTACTATTTGCATAGCTGAGCTGTGTCTCCCAGAAAGTCTGGCAGAAGCTTCAAGACTTTATCTCCCCAGCCCTTTCACTGCACTCTGGTGCAGCTGCCAGAGTTGCCCAGATTAATACTAAAAACATTAGGAAAACAAAAGTGTTTCTCCAAGACAACAGGCTAGTAACCTCCTGCCCCCACCACATCCAGAAGGGGATGTAGTTCTTTTATTTATTTATTTATTTTTTGATCCAGAGTGCCACTTAGTGTCCTTCTCTTCTTTTTTCTTTTACTAATCCTGGAGCACCACCTAGTGTTCATGCAATACATATGTATATTTATTTTTTCAGATTAATATATGAGTGCAGATTATGTTGCATTGCTTTTCTTAAATAATACTCCAAGTTGCAGTTGAGCCCTTCACCAAGGGGGTGTGCCAAATACCCCTACATTGTACCTCATAGGCAAGAGCTCACCAAACTCCCTTCTCCCTCCCCTCTCCATCCTTCCCTGCATTTGAATTTAGTTGTGTTTTTTTTGCCTTGTGGGCCTGTAGTAATTCATCTACTAGCTCCATATTAGTGTTGAGTATATTGGATGCTTGTTTTCCATTCTGATAATCTCTCACTGAGGAGAAATATATTTTCTTAAATTTTTTCAGTTCTCTTTTTCTATTTCTGTTATTTTTCTCAACTTTCTCTCATAACTTCCTTAGGCAACCAAGATAACGTTTTTTGTTGTTGTTGGTGGTGGTGGTGTTTGTTTGTACTTTTTGGAGGGGCTGGGTTTGAACCCGCCACCTCCAACATATGGGGCTGGCGCCTTACTCCTTTGAGCCACAGGCACCATCCCCCAAGATAACATTTTTATTTTGGACAGAGTTTTGCTCTGAGGCCTGGGCTGGAGTGAAGTGGCATAAGCCTAACTCATCACAGCATCAAATCCTTGGGATTGAGTGGCCTTCCTGCCTCAGCCCCTCAAGGGGCTGGGACTGCAGGTCCCCTGCTGTGGTGCATGGTTGTTTTTTTCTACCTTTAATAGAGGCAAGTCTCGTTTTTGCTCAGGCTGGTCACAAGCTCCTGAACTTGGGCGATCCTCCCGCTCTGATCTCCCAGAGTGCTGGGATTGCTGGTGTGAGCCATCGCAGCCAGTCTATCATTAACAACCTTCTTTTCTTCTCTTTTGTTCTTTCTCTTTCTCACTCTCTTCTTTTCTTTTCTCTTCTTTTAGTCCCTGTGCCAAAAGGGGGTTTCAACCTGAATGCACAGAGATGAAGAAAATTGAGGGGAAGGAAGAAGTGAGAGAAGGTTAGAGAGGAAGAAAGTAAGGAAGAATAAACCACACGTGAGGAGGAACCAACAAAAAAGCTACAGCAACATGAAAAATCAGAGCAGATCAACCACCCCCAGAGATCACAGCACAGCTATCACTGAAGATCCCATCTATATAAAAATTATGGAAATGATGGAAAGGAAATTTCGAGTATGAATGGCAAAAATGATGAAGAAAATTGAAGAGAAAGTGAAAATCACCAAAAGGAAATCCAAAGCTTCATCCAAGAAATGAATGAAAGGCCTAGCGAAATTAGAAAGGATATAACAGAGCTTAAAAAGTTGAAAAAGTCCTTCAGGGAGTTTTAAAATGCAATAGTAGGTTTCAACAACAGATTAGACCATGGAGGAGAAACTATCTCAGAGCTTGAAAACAAGGCTTTTGAGCTAACTCACTCATTTAATGAGGCAGGAAAGGAGAGAGTAAAATCTCATAGAGAATTATGGGACAACATGAAGTGTGCAAACATACCTATTGCAGGTATCCCTGAAGGAGAAGAGGATGGACCATTGGCATAGAAGCCCTACTGGATGATACCCTAACCCAAAATTTCCCAAGCATCACCAAAGATTCAGACACACTCCTTTTAGATGGATATCAAACCCCAGGTCGACTCAATTCAAAAAGAGCATCTCCTAGACACATTGTTATTAAGCTGGCCAAAGTCCAAATGAAAGAGAAAACTCTCCAAGTTGCCAAGGGTAGCCACCAACTGACCTATCGTGGCAAATCCATTAGGGTGACAGTAGACTTCTAAGCTGAAACTTTATAAGACAAGAGAGATTGGGCTTCCACTTTCAATATACTCAAACAAAATAATGTCCAGCCTAAGATTCTGTGCACTGCATATTCCATGGAAAAATCAAATTCCTTCCTGGGAAGGAAACATTGAGTACATTTGCCACCAGAAGACCTGCTCCACATGGAGTACTTAGACCGGTACTCTTCACAGACAAGCACAATGGACCACCAGCAAGGTAAAGACACTCCGAAATTAACAAACCCCAGCGTCCACAATTTCACCCAAGTGATAAAACAAGGCACTAGATCTCCACACAATAAGATGGACAGAACTCTTCTACTTATGAATTCTCTCAATAAATGTGAATAACTTGAACTCTCCACTAAAGAGGCACAAACTGGCTGACTGATTAGAAAAAAAATGCAAGCCAAGTATTTACTTCCTTCAGAAAACACATCTAACCCACAAGGACAAATCTAGACTTAGGGTGAAGGACTGGAAAATAATATATCAGACAAACGGAAACTGCAAGAAACTGAGGGATGCAAGTGGACTTTAAAGCTAAGAAAGTAACGAAAGACAAAGATGATCACTATATCTTAGTCAAGGGAACAATGCAACAAGAGGACATTTCAATCCTAAATATTTATGCATCCAACATTAATGACCCTAGATTTATAAAATGAACCATATTCTATTAGAACAGTGTGATATCCTACAACACCATAATTTTCAGGGACTTCAACATCCCATTGACAGAACTGGACAGATCCTGAAGCAGAAACTAAACAAAAAAATAATGAACTTAAATATAACTCTAGAAAAAATGGCCTTAACAGACATATAAAAAACACTCTACCACACTCCACTGAATATGTGTTGTTCTCATCAGCTCATGGATCATTCTCCAAGAGAGATCATATCCTAGGACACAAATCAAATCTCAACAAATAAAAAAAATAGAAATCATACCTTCCGTCGTCACAGAACACAATGGAATTAAAGTAGATCTCAATTCTAACAGAAAGACACATCCCCACATGAAGTCATAGAAACTAAACAACGATTTGCTAAATGATAGCTGAATTAAGGCAGAGATAAAGAAGGAAGAAATCATTAGATTCCTTGAATAAAATGAATGAAATGAAATAAAAATGAATGAATGAAACCACAAACTACCAAAATCTATGGGGTACAGCAAAAGCAGTCCAAGAGGGTAATTTAGCACTTTAAATGCCCACATCCACAAGCCCAAAAGAACACAAAGCAATTATCTAATGAATTATCTCAAGCAAATGAAAAAAGAAGACCAATCCTATCCCAAACCAAAGAGAAGAAAAGAAACAACCAAAATTAGATCACAACTACATGAAATGGAGAACAAAATAAAACATTCAGAATATTAATGAAACGATAAGTTGGTTGCTTGAAACGATAAATAAAATGGATAAAACTTTGCCCAGATTAACCAGAAAAGAAAAGTAAGATCTTTAATAACCACAGTCAGGTACAAAAAAAAGGGGAAATAACAACAGATATCACAGAGTCACAAAAGATCTTCACTGAACACTACAAAAACCTCTGTGCTGGCTCGGCACCTGTGGCTCAAGCCGCTGGGGCGCCAGCAACATACACCTAAGGTGGCGAGTTCGAATCCCCAGCCCGGGCCAGCCAAACAACAATGATGGCTGCAACCAAAAAATGGCCGGGCCTTGTGGCGGGTGCCTGTGGTCCCAGCTACTTGGGAGGCAGAGGCAGGAGACTCGCTTGAGCCCAGGAGCTGGAGGTTGCTGTGAGCTGTGATGCCATGGCACTCTACCCAGGGGGATAGCTTGAGGCTCCGTCTAAAAAAAAAAAAAAACCTCTGTGCTTAGAAATTTGAAAATGGGGAGGAAATGGACAAATTCCTGGATTCGCACTACCTCCCTAGACTAAACCTGGAAGAAATAGAACTCTTTTTATAATATTCAGATTAATATATGGGTGCAGATAATCAGGTTGCATTGTTTAGGTAAAGTCCAAAGTGTAGTTGAGCCCTTCACCCAAGAGGAGGGCCATATACATCTACATTGTACCCATTCGGTGACAGCTTACCAAACCCCTTCCCTCCTCATTTTCCCACGCTTCTTGAAGTAGTTTTGGTTTTCTCTTATGGGGCATGTAATTGTTCACCTACTAGTTTCACATTAATATTGAGTACATTGGACACTTACTTGTCCATTCTTGTGATACTTTTCTTAAGAGGAGTTTCTCCAGATCCGTCCAGGTAAATACAACAAAATATGGAACACTTCATGAACTTGAGTGTCTCCTTGTGCAGGGGCCATGCTAATATTCCCTGTATCGTTTGAGTTTTAGTATATGTGCTCCTGAAGCAAGCACAGACATTGAAATCTTGAACAGACTAGTATCAAGCACCAAAATGGCAACAATATAAAAGCTTCCAACAAAAGAAAGACTTGGACAAGATGATTTCAAACCAGAATTCTACCAAACTTTCAAAGAACAACTCATACCTGTGTTATTCAAAAACATTAAGAAAGACAAAACGCTCCCCAACTCCTCCACAAAGCAAATATACCCCAGATACTAAAACCAAGAAAGGATTCAACAAAGAAAGACTATAGACCAATACTGTAGACCAAGAGGCCTATTACTGAATCCTAGTCAATGCAATCAGGCAAGAGAAGGAGATCAAATGTATCCAAACACAAATACAGGAGGTCAAACTTCCACTCTTTGCAGAAGATATGATCCTATACTTAGAAAATCCAAAAGACTCAACCATAAGTCTCCTGGAAGTAATCAAGAAATACAAAAACATCTCTGAATATAAAATCAAATGTCTACAAATCAGTAGTCGTGATATATGCCAACAGCAGTCAAGCTGAGAATCAATTGAAGACACAATACCCTTCACAGTAGCTTCACAGAAAGTGAAATACCTGAGAATGTACCTAATAAAGGATGTGAAGGATCTCTGTACAGAGCACTATGAAACACTGAGAAAAGAAGCTGCATGGTGGCGCCCAGTGCCCGTAGCTCAGTGGTTATGGCGCTGGCCACATATACTGAGGCTGATGAGTTCAAACCCAGCGTGGGCCAGCTAAACAACAATGACAACTGCAACAAAAAAATAGCCAGGCATTGTGGTGGGAGCCTCTAATCCCAGCTACTTGAGAGGCTGAGGCAAGAGAACAGCTTAAGTCCAAGATTTTTAGGTTGTGAGCTGTGATGCTATGGCACTCTACCCAGGGCAACAGCTTGAGATGAAAGAAAGAAAGAAAGAAAGAGAGAAAGAAAGAGAGAGAAAGAGAGAGAGAAAGAGAGAAAGAGAGAGAGAGAGAGAAAGAGAAAGAAAGAAAAGAAAACGATAACAAATGGAAGAATGTGCCATTATCATGGCTTGAAGAATCAATATTGTTAAAATGTCTGCATTTACTCAAAGCGATCTATAGATTTGATGCAGTTCCCATTAAAACACCAGTGTCAGCCAGGCGTGGTGGCTCACACCTGTAATCTTAGCCCTCTGGGAAGCTGAGGTGGGTGGATCGCCTAAGCTCTGGAGTTTAAGACCAGTCTCAGCAAGAGTATGACCCCACCTCTACTAAAAATAGTAAAACTAGCCATGCATTCTGTCAGGTGCCTATAATCTCAGCTACTCAGGAAACTGAGACAAGGGGATAACTCCAGTCCAAGAGTTTGAGGTTGCTGTCAGCTATGACAACACAGCACTCTATCCAGGGTGACAGAGACTCTGTCTCAAAAACAAACAAATAAACAAAAACGCCACAGTCATATATTGCAGAACGTGAAAAAATAATTTTCTCCATTTGTATAAAAATAGATAAAAAAAATCCTCAACCCAGTGCAATTCTACAAAATAAAACCAAATCTTGGGGCATCACATTTCCACACTTCAGGTTATGCTATAAATCTATAGTAATAAAAACAGATTGTTATTGGCACAAAACTAGACACATAGGTGTATGGAACTGAATAAAGAACCTACAGATGAAACCAGCCGCATAGACCATCAGATCTTCCATGAACCAAACAAAAGCATGCACAGGGGAAAGAATCTCTGTTTAATAAGTGGTGCTGGGAGAGCTGGTTAGCCACACGAAAAGACTAAAACTGGACCTGCACTTTCACCGCTTACAAAAATTAACTCATACTGTACAAAAGATTTAAATCTAAGACCAGAAAAGATTTTAAAAAAGAGAAAAAAGCCCTGGAGGAAAGTATGAAATAAAAAGTGACCAATGCGGGCTTTGGGAAAGAACTCGTGATGAAGACCCCACTGGCAACTTCACTGACAACCAAAATAAATAAATGGACCCTGATCCAGCCACAAAGCTTCTGCACCTCTAAGGGCATAATCAACAAAGAAAACAGCCACCCTTCAGAATGGGAGGAGATATTTGCTAATTATGAATCAGAGAAAGAGCTGGAATATACAAAGAAGATAAAAAGAAATCAAGCAAATCAACAAAAAAAGAGCAAACAACCCCATTAGTCAATGGGCAAGAGACATAAACAGAACCTTTTCCCAAGAAGACAGATGAAGGGCCAACAAACACATGAAAAAATGCTCATCATCCCTAATCATCAGAGAAATGCAAATCAAAAAAACTTTGAGAGAACCACCTAACACCAGTGAGAATAGCTCACATCACAAGGTCACAAAGCTGCAAATGCTGGCGTGGGTGCAGAGTGGGGGGTGTATACACTTATGCACTGTTGGTGGGATTGCAAAGTAGTACAGCCTTTTTGGAAAGAAGAATGGAGCATCCTCAAAGAACATCCGTTTGATCCCACAATCCTGTTAGTGGGTATGGACACAGAAGAAAAAAATATCATTTTACTATAAGGCTATTTGCACTCAAATATTTATAGTAGCTTGATTTACAATTGCAAAGATGTGGAAACAACCCAAGTGCCCATCAACCCATGAATGGATTAATAAGCTGTGGTATATATATATATATATATATATCTACCATGGAATACTACTCAGCAATCAAAATGATGGAGACTTTGCATCTTTTGTATATCCCTGGATGAATTTGGAGAACCTTGCCATAAGTAAAGGATCTCAAGAATGGAAGGGCAAGTATTCCATGTACTAATCTGAAAATAGGAGACCGGTTATAAGTCCACACAAGACAAAAACACAATTAAATTCAAGAAGGGGGAAGAGGGAGATGGGGTTCAGTAAGTTCCCACCTGTCGGTACTGCGCAGAGGTCTATGGCACACTTCCTGTAGGATTCAGCTACACCTCAGACTTGGACTCTACCCTATAAACACAAGTAATGTAACCTAATTGAATGTACCCTCATATTAACCTGAAATTAAAAAACAATACTTGCTTTTACTCGTATTTTTAACACAGGAAGGCATGTGGATTATGGAGGAATACTTTGTAAAACCCGATTTTGCTTCGATTTCTTTCACCTCCTTGCTTTTTACTCAAATGCCTCCCACTCAGTGAGGCCTTCCCTGCCACCCTCCTATCATCTTTCACTTTCTCACGCCTTTCCTTTGTAGATATAAATATTGTTAAATGTATGTGACAGTCACAGAGAGGGATGTTATGAATATCCTTCAAAATACGCACCAAGACCAATGCTCATGTGTGTCCCTTGCAATATGGTATCAATGGTTCTCAAAATTTTTAGTGTCAGAAAAGCTCTACACTTTAAAAAGCATGAGGACCACAAATATCTCCTCTGCTCCCATGGCCAAACTTGACTCACAGTTCTCTACTCAGCTCCCTTCAAATAATTTCATCAGGTCAGAAGCGGAGGCCTTTCCTCACTTCCAAAGCAGTGATGAATGTGGGTTAGTGAATGGGAATTTCAGCCACAAAAGTCCTCTTTATCCCCCGGATTTCCTCCTTGGCGTCCCTCTGTTCTTACAGTAAAAGGTTCCACTCCTGGGGGCAGTGCCTGTGGCTCAGGGAGTAGAGCACCGGCCCAATATGTCAAGGGTGGTAGGTTCGACCCTGGCCCCGGCCAAACTGCGAAAAAAGAGCCAGGCATTGTGGTGGGCACCTGTATTCTCAGATATTCGGGAAACTGAGGCAAGAGAATCGCCTAAGCCCAGGAGCTGGAGACTGCTCTGTGCTGTGATGCCACAGCACTCTACTGAGGGCGATAAAGTGAGACTCTGTCTCTAAAAAAAAAAAAAAAAATGTTCTACTCCTATCTAGAAAAATACACGGTTACCAGTGATATGGGCCAGGCCCCATCTCTGAGCACAGCCTTGTTCCCTGCATATCTGGGAGGCCACTCTCTAGTTCCTGACTCAGAATCGCTTCTTCCATTTCTTCCCTTTTCATGGTCTAAGTGACAGACAGCAGACAGTGGTCCCCATGTCTGCAGGGTAGAACCGGCAGGAACACCTTCCCTGGAGGGACCAAGCAAGGCCTAGAAGCTCCAGAATAATCATGCACATATGTTTGTGACAAATAGTACCTTTTAAGGTGCAGGATACATGGGTATCATGGACCCTGAGGGGCTCTGGAGAAGGACAGGAGTGAGGGCTTCACTGTGACTTCCCTGAATCCCGGGTGCTTTGGCTCTTGTGGGCCGCTTCCCCAGAAACATACCCACCATCCTATCTTACAACCACATTGGTACAGCAGTGAGTATACATCAGGCTGGATTCACTGATATAAACTCAGTATTTTTATATGTACTTCAAGATATGATTTTTTAAATTATAACATTTTCTTTGATATCTAAAAATTTTGAGGGGCCTGGATCTCCTACTTGCTGTCTATGATAGAAGAGTTATCCAGTGGGAGCTGAATTGTCCTGGGGTCAATTGTCCAGGGTCCTCTGGGCTGAGAGGACAACCCAGGGAAGGCAAGGGGCAGGCTGAGGGGAGAGTGACAATACCTACACTGGTGAGAGGAATGCTGAGCACGGGGACATGAAGGAGCCCTCAGGAGTAACTTAAAAATCACTCACTCTGCTGATTCCTACACACACACACACACACACACACACACACACACACCCTTGATCCCGTTGTCTGTGCAGCTCCTTGTGGGGAAGGAGAACATGGACCCCTCTCCACTTGCAGGGACAGGATGAGGGGATGTCACATAATTTCGAGGGGTGTTATAAAACTCAGTAATCAGGATAGGTAATATTTTAATGCAATGGTTTCAAATACCAAAATTAATGCCCCAATCCATGATGAGCAAATATCAAAATTTTAAGGCAAGGTGGGGCCCACTCTGCTTCACCTGACAGGTTGCACATGGTCCCAGCCCTGCACCCCCAGGTCAGCTTAGGGTGATCACAGACGAGCCCAGCCGTGGCCAACAGGGTCCAGGATAGGCAGGGGACTCTGAGCACATCCTCACATCATAACCCAAGAGCCAGAGGAAATCACAGAGGGTCTATGGGCAGGTGGTGGGGTGAGGGGAAGGAAAGCACCTTCCAGAGGGAGCCCAGGGTTTGGGCAGCAGATTGTGGAGGAAAGTGCCTTGAGAGCCCTCAGCCCCTCACTGAGTACCCCCATCCTGGTTTATGTCTACCCCCCACAAGCACCCCAACATGGAAGGCCTTGGAAAGCCTCTAGTTTTAGAGAACAAAAAGAACTTAAGTATTCTGCAGTTAGTTTATTGAAATAAAGATAGATCTGAGGTTTCAACAAGCGTCTTGCAGTTTCCACTTAAAAGAACAAAAGAAGAAAGAAAGTTGTGGTTTCAAGCAATCAGCAATGATGATCTGTGGTGTCTGAGGCAAAGTTCTTGTGGGAAGTTAAAAGTTGAAACAGAATTTGCTGTTGTACATGATTTGCTGGAAAACAAACACAGATATGTCACTTACATGTTGAACTCTCTGTCAAAGTCAAATATGGGAATCCAGAACCTTTTCTTCCTGTTATTTTCCTGAATTGTCCACAAACAATTTTTTTGTCCCCCCAAAATTAGGTCTGGAAGCAAAATGTGAATTATCTCCTCTTTTATTCATATTTGTCAGGAGATGTTTATTAATACCTAAGAAGTGCTGATATTTCTGGATTTTTTCGTGGGGGGGGGGGGACAGCTTTAATCATTTTTTTCTCCAAGATCTCTGTTCTTTAAAATAACTTATCCAATTCATATGATGCATGTACTATCCATTGAAGACCTTCGGATGTAATCTGTTTCTGATATCACTTTCTCGACACAAAATTATTGAAATCTCACCTCAAATATAACCAGGGGATGGTTTTGAGTTCTTGCATGATCTAAAAATTTAGAAATATCTTGACACACTAAGGCTCTCCACCATCACCTTTGTGAAACACAAATTCTTAGAGAACTACAACAAAGAAAATTAATATAATTTTGATGTAAAAGAAAAACTACTCCCACCATCCTAAGTTGCAAATCATGTTCCATTTTATTCTTAAAATTTGGAGTGTATTTCTAAATTCTCTCCTATGGGGTGTTTTAAATGGAATATATGGATATGAATTAAATGCTAAAAAGGTTCTAAATAACATGTATGTAAAACTAGACAGATAATCTCCTAATTATAACAATTGATATGTCTTTTAAATAATCCTTCACCCATGCTGGTTTAATACCCATGAACTACACTTTCCATTTCATGAGGCACTTAATTAAATGGTGCATTATTTACAATCAAGTATAGTAAGAAACCTTGGTTGTTCAGACACTCATGTTAAAGTCTTTATATTGGAATATGTATAATATGTATGAATGGCATACTCCAGACTCTGCAAAAGAATATTTTAAGACCATTTTTCTAATTTTACATAAAGAGGCCACTTTCTTTGTTGGGTTCTCCTACAAGTAAGCGAATCCTAGAAACTGGATTTTTTTTTCTTCATGGAAAATACATTTGTCTCTGTCACCATGTGTGTTCATGTGTGTGTGTGTGTGTGTGTGTGTACATGTGCGTTCCTGTGTTTGTGTCTGAACATAGACTGTGGAGCTGAGGGGTAGGGCACCCACTTATGGAGCTTTCTTGTCCCGCCTGTGCTTTTCCCATTTATCATTCATTTAACATTTTCAAAACAAAGTGGGAAACCACCTAGGGAGACATTTAAATGAAGTGATGTATTTAACCCTTGTTCACCAGTCCCTGGTGCCAGATTTAGAGCTTCCTTGTTCCTGGTCAGTGATGTTAAAAGGTACATGAGAAAAGACCAAAATTACCATCATGTTTCCAAAATTTGTCAGAGTTTCTTTTGACTGGCTGAGAAAACATTGTTTAAATTCCTCAACAGCATTTTTGTCCTTTTCACCGTCGGTAAAGTCCTGCATCGCATTTTTGTAGTCAGGTACAGACACATCTAGATCTAGTGTCTTCTTAACTAAATCCTCAAGAAGTTGGCAGCCAGAACCTGAGGACAGAGCATGACAACATTGGCTCATGACCAGAAGTGTGAACCCACCTTAGAACATCCCTATGATACCAGTGATCTTTGGACATCCCAGCAGGGGCTGAAATTCAGAAAGGCCATGGTGCGTGCTCTAGAGTTCCCAATCCCAGGAGAGTAGACTCAGGCTCTGGGGTTCCCTTTACATCCTGAATATGCTTCTACAGCCTCTCACGTCCCGAGAAGCCAACCCCTACGACTCATTGGTTATCGAGGACACTAGGGAATTGAGAGGCTCAGACTTTGTGGAACATGTTAAACATTATCGGATCATTCTTGGTTCAAAGTCGTGTAAGGATTCCCTATTACCATGCAGAGCATCAAGCAGGATTCCTGCCCATTATAAAAGTATTGAGTCTAGAATATCTCCCACTACCTTGACTTGACTCTCAATCTTGTCACAACAACAAAGAACAAATCACAGATTTTCCTTTGTGAAATGATCTGCTGTGCTCACCCCTGTGGTGGAGGGGAAAGAGCTCCTGACCTGGGGTCACATGAGCTGGCTGTACTCTGGCTCTGCAACTTCCGTGCAGTGGACTGTGAGCAGATCACTTGTTTGCCCACCTGCACCCGCTCCGGGAACAAATGAGGTGGGACTGTAAACAGGATTTATAAATCCTACAAGGCAGCTCCCTCTGTGACGGGACATTCCCATAAGTGCTGCCAGGGCTTTCTCCTTCCCCTGGATCCTCACTGCTTGAGGGAGCCCCAGAGAGTGTGAGTTCTCCTCCCCAGTCTGCTCTGAGCAGGAAAGACCTGGGATTTGGTGACATCCCAAAAGGGCTTAGATCAACTTTGCAAACTCACAGTGACACCCGCAGGGTGAGAGACACCGGGTCACACCCTGGAGTCTGAGCCTTTTCCTTCCATATTTTAGGAAACTCATGATTTTTTTTTTCCTGGTTTCTGGATGCAGATGGCGTGGGGCTTTCAATCACGTCTTCCCTTTGCCCCAGTGAAATAGCTAATTCCAGTAGTCATCCCTGAGACTCATGCTGGTTGTTATGATCACTGTGACCCTGGTGGGACACCCTGAAAGCAATGAGACGCTAAGTGCAGCTCCTCTGCAAGGCAAGGGGAACTACCTTTTGTCTGGAACTAACGTGATCCTGAGGTCTATTGCATGCAGACCCTTCGTCCTGGAGCTTCCCTGTGCTGGGGCTTGGGGATGCAGAGTTCTCCCACAGGGGTCCGGGCAACGCCCCCAGCCCACAGGCCATCCTTTGCACAGGGCTCACCTGCAGAGCAGCAGAAGGGGAGAGCAGCCAGTAGGAAGACAGTCAGCAGCTTCATGGTGGCACTAATGCAGTTGGTTGTCCAGTCGCGTGTGGCAGGGAACAAGGAAGTGACTGTGGTGGGAGCTCCGAGGTGGCTCTATTTATCCCCAGCCAGGCAGCACAGTCCCTGCCAGGAAGGAGGGAATGAGTCAGAGATGCTGCCTGGCCCAGGACCAGGAAACAATCATGCACACCAAGAGGAACCCAGCCAGCCAGGGTAGAAACCAAGAAGCCAGTGATGTTTGGACCCAGGACAATTTGGGGACTGCAGTAATGACAGGCAGCTGTAGGCAAAATGGATGTGAAAGTGTTTTCCAAACTCTAAAACAAATCCAACAGTGCGAGCCTGTGCTGTCATCACTGTTGTTAAAATTGTGGTCTATTTCTGTTCCTTCTTCTAGTCTTTTTCCTCCTGCTGCTCTTCATCTTTGACCTCTTCTTTTATTCCTTGTTCTTCAAGGTGCAGCTTCACAGCCTGTAGGTCTGTCTGTCCTCTATGAAGCACAGGTGGGCTGGCTGCAATACCGTATCCATCCTTTGAGGGGCAGCCCTTCCTCACCCATAGACATTCTTTTTTCAGGAAAAGTGTTTTGGTTTTGAAGAAAATTCATTAAGATCTAAACTCTAATAAAAGTAGGGGGGTTCGTTTGTTTGCTTGTTTTCGCCTTTGTTTTCTTCTTCACCAGAATTACCTCACTAATTTAATTCAACTTTATACATTCACTCCATAATGTATTTATCAATTTTTGTTTAGTGGATTGTTGCCTTTGGGGCATTTCCTTGCACTGATTCACAGGCTGTGGTGAGTTAGTAAAGTAACTGTGTGCTCAGGGCAGGCATTGCTAAACTACATATGATAATGGGATTTGGGCTCATGCAGATGTGTTTTTGGATCCTGGAGGCTGCACAGAGTCATGACAAGTCTTTGTGTAAGTTACACAGCTGGCATCTATGAGTTTTCTTTTCCTCTTTTGTGAAATAGGTATAAACGACGCAGTGCCGACTTTTTATAAGGATGATAGACACTGTGTACAAGCTCTGCCATGTGGTTCGATATGAGATGATCATGAATACATGACAGTTTCCAAGCATGCCCCCCTTCATCGCTGAGCACCTCACTACTGAGCTTCTCCTATGAGCTGGGCCCTGAGCTACTTGCTACAGATTCAGTAATAGGAACAAGGGAGACCAGGTGCTTGCTCTTGTGGACCTTGCTTTCTAGCAAAGGAAGCCAACGGACAACCTACAAACCAGTCAGAGATACCGGAAAATGGCAATTGTGGCAAAGACATAAGCAGATGCTGTAATAGACATCCTGTGTATATCCGAGACAGCCCGTGGGACAAGGTGCCATTTTAGCACCAGCTTGGATGAGTGGACGGCCATATGCAGGAACAGATTCAGGAGAGTGTTCTGGGCAGAGAGAATAGCAAGTGCAGTGGCCTAAGGGCAGATGACACTTGACAAGGTTAAAAAAATAAAGGCAGTAGGGTGGTACCTGTGGCTCAGTGAGTAGGGTGCTGGCCCGATATACCAAGGTTGGCAGGTTCAAACCCGGCCTCGGCTGAATTGCAACAACAACAAAACACAGCTGGGCATTGTGGCAGGCATCTGTAGTCCCAGCTACTGGGGAGGCTGAGGCAAGAGAATCGCCTAAGTCCAGTAACTGGAACTTGCTGTGAGCTGTGTCACCATGGCACTCTACTGAGGGCAATAAAGTGAGACTCTATTTCTACAAAAATAGCAATAATAATAAAGGCAGTGATGGTTTGCCCTCTGGGGAGAAGAGAGCAATGGAGAGCAGTGGTTCTCAACCTTCCTGATGCTGTGGCCCTTTAATACAGTTACTGTGGGTTGCGACCCACAGGTTGAGAACCACTGATATGAGAACTCTGATAGGACAGGACAAGTTCACAGGACAGAAAGCCCATCCCAGTTTAAACAGGGTTGAGGTAAAGGTGACACAAACAAGAAAAATACAGTTAGCTCAGGTTTACAAAAAGGAGAGTAGAGTCTGTTCTTAATTTCCTGAGAATTGGGAGTTTGCTGTCTGGATTACACGTGGCATATTTCCATCATTCATCTAGAGCCACAGCTGTGAAGAACTAACCTGATTTAGGAAGAAGAAACACAGTAGGAGAAGGAAACTTTTATGCAATTGGCCATGGCTGGCCTTCTTCATTCCAAAGGGGAGAGTAGGACTTTGATGGTGAAATGGGAAACTATCTCCTTGGCCAGAACCTATGGAGGGCTTCGCCCCTGTCCTTATGAACCTGCCCTGCCACCTCCTGGCAGAGGTTCTTTTTCTTCTAAAGAGCACCCCCATCAGGGACACGGGCCCCACTAATCTCCATGTTTGTCCAGACACCTGATCATTCTCTGGTGAATCAATTAACAGTAACCCTGTAACAGAGTAGACCCTTTTGCATACCACCCTTTACAGGGAGAATAAAAGCAATAGTTCAGAATACTGCATCGTTGGTGTGAATTCTCTCCAAAAAGGGACTTTGACTCAGGTCCCCAAATGCAGTTAAGAAATTGGAGGATTGGAACAAGGCAAGGGTGCCCATTGTCTCCATTGCTCTTTAACATCGTAATGGAAGTTTTAGCCATCGCAATTAGGGAAGAAAAGGCAATCAAGGGCATCC